GATAAATTCAGACTTGAATAATTGTATATTAATCATTTGGGTACTATATTTAGCTTATAAAGTAAGTTTGGAATCAAGTTATTGAAGATAAACCTTTGATCTCTCAAAGGTTAGAAGTAATTAGGAGAAATTTATTGTTTGTAGTTATTTAATAATTGATTTATGTTTGTAAAAAATGCCTTAATGGATTCCCAAATTTATATTTTATGAATAATGATGTGTGCATTATATGTGAAATGTGAATCCTCCATTTAGAAATGTTGGCAAAATGTTATTTGAAAATGTGCATAGTTCATTATTATGTGTTAAACCCTAATGTTTATCAAATTGATAAGTTAGTGTGGTTGTTATAGCATATGAATGTTACACATGTTACACATGTGACTAATGAAAATTTAGGATGTGTTATGAAATTAAGAATTTAAGTGGAGAGAATTTGTGAAAATAATAATGATGTTCACCTGGGTAACGTAATATCGTAAAACCTAATGTATTGATATGGAGTAATGAAGTTGTGAAATGAGTGAGCTTATTATATTACATGATCATTTGGTGAGAGTTCGCTTAGGGAGAGGAGTAGAAAATTCATATGGTAATTATGGTTTCCTTTTGATGCATAAAGGTTAGCCTTATCCCATAGTTTGTCAAGAGACTAGAATCTAACTATCTCCACTTGTTTGTGGAAGAGATTAGCTTAGAGTATACGACACCTCAGAGATTTGAGAGTAGGGGAAGTTGTGATTCAAAAGTGAGTGTTGTGATCTTTGGCCGAGTCACACCTCACAATTGGTGAGCTTGGGTAGTCCAATCACACATACAGGACCCTAACTGATATTATAGCCCATGGTTTCAGTCAGAAGATATAAGGAGCGTATAAGGAGAAATTGATCATGCATATGTGTATATTCAACATGTCATATGGTTGATAAGTTTGTGGCAAGTTGTGATGTGAATGTGCCATTATCATATGGTTGTCTATATTATGGTAACGTGCATGGAATTGATGGATTAAGTCATTGTCACATGACTGTGTGTATTGTGGCAATGTACTTGGTAATTTTGAAATGAAAAATGTGAAAATAAGTTAAGTCATGAAATTATACCTTGTGTCATATGTAATAGTATGATTTGAGTAATCAACTCTCACTTATATGTTTTTAAATCAATTGATATGTAATTGTGTATGGTAGATGTACTTTGATTACTGAGTGGCTACACTCACCCCTTTCTTGCAATATTTTATAGGCTCTAGCTATGGTGTAAAAAAGGGAAAGACTATGGAGGCTTTGGAATTTGTGGAATTCCTACTATGAAACCTCCTCATTTTATTTATTTTGTGTAATATATTGAATATTATCAATTAGATTGCATTTTGTACATACACTTGTACTACATTATTGTTTATACTTTTGATATGTATTTTGGGTTCTAGGACGTTGTATGTAAGTTGTTAAAGTGTTAATAGGGTTGAGATACTGGTGCAAGTGTAAGAATGTTGATTTAATTATAATTATGAATATTGCTTGAGAAACGAAATATTAAAATCTCCCCCTCCTATTTATGTTATTAAAGGCGTTCGGGAGTAAAAATTTGAAATTATTGAGTTTATATTCATGTGTTGTGTTGTACAGGTAGTCCTAAGTCCTTTGAGTATGTTTTGAGTGTCAGAAATAGCTTTTGGCACAAGTGTGGGATTTTGGAAACCCTTAAATTGTGAAAAGTGTGAAAAGTTGTGAAAATGTGTTTGGGTATATAACTTCTTTGTGAAATTTAATTTGAAAGTAAAACTCATGCCATTAGCTAATTTATAAAAAGAACTATCCGTATACACTTAAATCACCTCATTCAAATGTTAAATGGAGAAATGTGGCACATCAAAAATTACCCTGGGTTACTGTTTGATACGTGTAACACATCATGGTGGGTGGCACAAAGGAGGGCAACCACGGCGCATGTGCAAATGTCACAATGCGCCTCTTTGTTTATTCTACTCAATGTTTTCAACTGATTTTGAGTCTTTTTAATTTCTCAAGGTATCACATGCTTTTAATTATTTTATTCTAATTAAAAGTTGGTCAAATGATTTTGGAGAAATTCTGACTGTAAAAAATTAAAATCCTAATTCTATAAATTACAAATTTAATAATCCTTTTTGGATTGGGCTCTCAATTGCTTTGGATTAGTATAATTAATTATGATTACATAAGAGAATTTCAAGAGGGTTTTACACATTGCATGTTGTCGGGTCCATCAAATGAATTATGAAACCACATCGACCAAGACGAAACTAGATCCAACAATAATAGGCTCAGTTAGTAGCCTGGTAGAGATTAGACTAGAGAGGAACAAGAGTGAATACTTTTGAGTAAGGGATAATTAGGGAGCTAATTATGAGAAATTGGTTTGTGTAAAGATAAAAGTGAGCAAGATAGAGAGAGGCCATGAGGTTAGGCTCTTTTGGAGTCTGTGTTATGAAGTAAAAATAATAATGCTACGAGTACAAATCTGACCCAGTTTATTTCTGAGACTTCCTCTATATATGTATATATATCAAAATATCATAACACTTTGATCTTTACAAAATATAGTCAATTATATTAAAAACTAATCTGAGAAATTAATTTATCAGAAATTAATTTTATCACATGTTAATTAAAATACACCTAGAACTATCAAAATAGATCTTAAAAACTTCCAACTTTTACAAACTCGTCAAAACGACCACATACTCAAGGGAAATTGTAAAAAAAAAAAAAGGATAAATAAATCTCCTTAAAAGGAACAAATGATAAAATAATATCAAGAAATAAGATAATTATTATGAAGTCTCCAGCTACTTATCCATGGCCTTACCATTTTGTTTTCTGTGCTTTTGAACTCTTTTGTTACTGTACGCTTATTCAGTTGAATGCACGGGACTTTTCTTGACCAAAAAAAAAAAAAAAACACTGACATTTGCTGTCTTGCCCGTTTCTTTCTCGTTGCAAGTTTTCGGTTTCATCCAACTTCAAGAAATCGAACCTTTATTGATAAGTGATGCTCTCATTTCCTCTTTCATCTCTCGTCTTTTTTAGTTTCATGTTTCATATCAATCCTTGCTGTTGCGGGCTCTTTCTTAATTTCTCAACGTTTTTTTTTTGCACTCTCGTTTGTGTTGCTTGTATTTCCTCATTTCTGCGCTTTATTTTCCTGGTTTTGTGATATTTCTTCGAGAAGAAAAGTAAAAAAAAAAAAAAAAAAACTGCTCTTTCAATTTGTCACTGCCTTTATCTCCCAAAAAAAAAAAAACAGAAAAGAAAAAGATGGGAAGTTACTCCGCCCCTCTGTTTTCATTTTCTCAGTTGGACTCCTTTCTTGTCTTGTTGATGTTCCTTTCATGTTTGATTTCACAAGTTCATCATCTTTCAGATCAGTTTATGGTTGTTTTTGATTCGTGTGAAGCATCTGTTTCTTAAGGTTGTTCTGAACACCATAAAAGGATGTAGTCTCATGCTTGATCTGTGTTGGAACACTAAGGAAAGCTGATTAATCGCTGGTGGTTGATCGGAGGCTTATAGATCTTCAAATTGTGCAAAGATTCACATCTCTATTATTGTAAGACACGGTTAAATTATATATTTATGCCATCTATGTTATCTGTCAGTGTTTAATTGATCTATTTACTGAGTTCAGTTTTTTTTTTTTTCTTTTCGAATTACAAAAACTCAGTTCATTTTTTGTTTCAACTTTTATATTCGTATTTTTATATATCTTGAGCACTACTTGATCGTTACAAGCTTTTACCAGGTGAAAGTTTTCAGGATCAATTTTTAGTTTTAGCTTCTGTTTTTTCACACCACTCCATCTAGTTATATATAGTTACAATTTAATTTAATTTCCCTGCTTATGAGTCTGAACTAAATAATTAGCACTTATTTCACCAAAGCCCTTAAATTATGTTTCAGTCGTTTTCCATTTTTACCCCTCTGTGATGGACCAACTCTTTTGTGTTTTTCTGCATGATGTGGTTATTTTAAGACATGCACTATTCCAATTAACCAACAATTAGCCTTGTACATACATATATACTGTTGTTTGTTGTTTGACTTTGGATGGATGTAGGAGAATATATTGTTTGATTCTAGAAGTTGCTTCCAAAGATGTCGTCAAAAGATGACGAGTCCGGAAGGGGTAAAAAGGCCCTTGGTGCTATAGTACGTATCCATTCGAAGATGGGATTTTTTAAAATATAAATATATTATTTCTATTCATTTTAGTCACAAAACATTCAGGTGCGTTTGGTTATCAAAAATAAATTGATTAAAAAATAAAGATAAAAATAAAATGATAAAAAAGGATGGGTAAACTATATTCATATAGAAAATGGATAATTAGTTCATGAAATTATAAATCATGATTTATGAGATTTTTAAAAGGATGTAATAATTGTCATATTTATAATATATATTAATAAATTTTATTATGCTTGTTATAAAAAGAAAATGTAATTTATTTTATTTTAATTTTAATTTTTTCAATTAATTTCATTCTCTTTTAATAATCAAATGGGACTTTAGCATTTGATCCATATTTGTGGTTTTGGTGGGGTGCGTACTTGGGAAATTTCTTTTTTTCCTTTTTTTTTTGAAATGTGTGATTGTGTATATGTTAGCTTTTGAGGGTGTCATAAAAGGATTTTGTTCTACAAGTCATCTAATTTGGAAGCTTAATGTCTTTCATGAATCTTAATATATTCTTTCGTATTTTATCATGAAATTTTTTTAATTTAAATTATATACTGGACCAACTTGTTATTCTTGTTCTTGATCTGATGTCTTTTTTTTTTTAATTGCTCAAGGTATTCACCACCGGTAGCAGTGATTAATCCCTTCGTCGCGGGGTCTCTCACAAGAAAGCAAACGGCTGGCTATAGAGTGCTTTTCATTAATATAAGTGAGAAATTAAACCTTCCATCACATGTTTAAAGGATGAAACGAATTTGATGTCTTTTTGAATCCCACTAGGGGCGACGATTGGAACACCAGAGCCCGCCAATACCAGGAAAAGAGCTGGGCTCATCCAAGAGCAAGTTCCCAATAAGTAGCGTCCTCTTGTCACGGTTCATATGGTAGGTTAAATGACAATTAAGTCCCCTTTAATCTCAAATAAGTCCATCAAAATTTCATTAATTGTAAAGAATTCTCAGTTTTTCCAATCTGGTTATTATTGTGATTATATTGCACCTATGATAGTTTTTTAATTATTTGTATACATAAATTTAACAAGTTAGAGTATTGATGACGTTGTGATTATTGTTGTTCATTTTAATCTAGCTAATATTTGTATAATGTATTGCAGTCTTTGATTGTGAAAAACTGACTGTGATGATTTAACGTTTTTCCTCAGAAGCATCGCATCCTTTTCCCAATTTGCAATCTCAAATTGCATTTAAGAGTGACTCCAAATTTCAATTGTTCCCTTACATATAGTTATGCGCATGTTTTGTCTATGTGGCATACTTTATTTGTTCTAAATTTTGGGCTCTTTGCTAGTTAGGGACTTCACCTATTTTACTGTTCGGCTACAAAGTTTCATTCACAAGATCTTTTCTTTGTCCGGGGTTATTGACTTTTACTTGTTATCCTATATACTTTTCCCTTATGCTTTCAACTATTTTATTATAATCAAGTTAGTCATATTAATAAAATTATTTAACATTTCTTTTATTTTATATTTACTCCCATTGAATATTATAATTATATATATATATAATTTTTTTAATAATTAAAACAAGGATATTTTTGGGGAAAAAAAACCTAACGCTTTTCATTATCTTGCAAAATGACTTACATTTTGGATAATAAAACTCGTCTAGAACGTGATTGCATGACATGGAGGAACAGGAGTAAAATTTTGTCGTTTTTGCCAAAAAATAAATTAAAAAAAACATATTCTTTTGTTTATAAATTTTTAATTCATATAATAGGCGTCAATCTAATGAGAAGTTAGATTGTTGTTGTTGTTGTTTTTCATTTATCTTAACCTCATAATACCTGATATGTTTTTCAATGCATTATTCTTTGGTTGCCAGACTGGGTCCGCGAGGAAAAAGATGTCTGAGTCAACTGAGGATCCCATTCCTACAAAGGAAGAAATTGTAAGTTGGATGAGGATATTTTCTGTCCCATTTCTTTAAAGTCACATATAGAATTAATTTATCCCATGAGAATTGAAATTAATAAATATCTTCACGACTTCACCAATCTAATATGAAATACGAACTTCTGAGAACGGCACTGTTCCTTCATTTCACCATGCTACAAAATTTAGAATTTCTAAATTTATATTTGAAGTGTCCATCTAACAAGAAGTTAGATGATCAGATTTTGTCTGTAGTTGTGTCTGTTAGATTTTGAGGTTGAGGGGGTCAAACGTGTTGTTGCTGTTGATATGTGATGCTTTCTTGTTTAACAACTTCCTGTGCAGGATCTGCTATGTCTGATGAGGATGAGGGATTTTTTATGCCTCATCTTGAGCTACCCCATGAAGCTTGACTATGATGAAATGTTTCTGAAGTCATGGATGTCCCAAGTTTCAATGTCAAGAGACCAATATTGTTCGCAGGAAAGGCTCCAACGTCTTGTGTCTGAAAGTCCACTGAAATATGTGAAAGGGATAATACCAGAGGACATAACAGAAGAGATTAAGAATGATGGTAGCATCATCTTCAACAAAAGCGACTCAAAGGAGCTTGCTACTGCTACCAGCAAAGACCCACCACCCAATCATGTGCCTCAACCCATTCTTGACTTGGCTACTCGTCTTGCTGTTCACCAACTGGCTCAGACTTTTTCTCCAGAAAGCCGTGTTAACTCATTTTATTGGATGGGAGCTCATGTTGTATGCTTGTCAACGAGAAATGATGCAGAAAAACGAAATGTCGTGGAAGAGATCAAAGCAAATTGTCAGATCAGCGAGACATTTGAGAGTCTCCGAATCATTCATCTTAGTGAGACCGATGAAATTGATGATGCTTCAATGATTCGGTATCTATCGACTACTAGTGCAGCGTCTTTTAAGAAAGATTAGGAATTTGAAGTTTTAGAGCTCCCGGGGGAAAATAAAAGGCACGGAAATTTGGTGCTTCTAGTGGATAGGGATGGTGACAAAAGAGTAGACCTTCGAAAGTTGCCACGTGTAGCATATTTTGGGGGTGGTGTTGTAATCATAACAACAGAATCATTGCACTCCAAAATGTTTGATTGGCTTACAATGTGGATGTTAGTATCAGGACAGAGGATCATGTTCTGCCTTGGGAAGTCTTCTGCAAGAATATAGGCAAAGAGCTTGTATGCTCATCAGGTGACATCCAGAGGGTTGCAGCGCAGATCGTTGAGGAGTGTGATGGCCATCTTCATGACATTGTCTATGATGCAGAGTTGTTGAAAGATGTGGGAGATGTTCAAATCTGGAACCAGATGTTGCAAAAGTTACGGAATTCGATCCTACCATACTACAACCGGACTGAATTTAAACGTGTGAGTGATGCCTCCCATCAAATTTATATAATATCTGAGACATTTTTCACATATTTTTTAAAAAAGTTATCACATTGTTTTATTTATGAAAGAACATAACAACTTTAGTTATACCCTTAGGAACTAAAAGAAAACAATGAATTACCTTATCATTTGTACAAATATTTTCTTAATTTAAAGAATAAAATTTTAAAAAAATTATTTTTGTAAAATATTATATAAATAAGACCAAAGCAGTAATAGTAAATGTATTTATCAACATCATCTCCGCGGATATTATTCTTGGGAAAAAAATTCACCTTACACTATGTTTGTGACCTTCAAACTATGAGCTAAGATGAGTTTTTAATTAAGACACTTTTTCAGTCAAATTAAATTTTTTGCTTCCATTTAGGATTTTCCTAATAAGTAGCTCTTGTGATTAATATTTTTTATTTTTTAAAAAAAATTAACTTATTTTGATTTGATATTGAAAAAATTACATAATTTATCTCTTAACTAGAAAGTTAGTTAAACTTTGAAAGCAATGTGTGTTTTCTTTTAAAAAAAGTACTATGACAGACATGTTCAAGCTCTCTAGATTCTTGAATGCTATATACATTGTATGGTGATGGGATTTTTTGTTTAGTTATGTAATAATAGGTGTCAATCTCAGCAGTAGTTAAAAGTTAGTTATGTAATAATAGGTGTCAATCTTTTAAAAAAGTATCTTTTTTTTTTTTATGTTTGAAAGCTTGTGCTCGGAAATCGTGTGCAAGATCTATCGAGTCTGGTGAGGATGAGGGATTTTTTACACTTCATCTTGAGTTATCCCATGAAGCTTGGCTATGAGCATTCTATGTGGAAATGGATCATAGAATTTTCAGACTTAAGAGCCCAAGAGGGTTCGCAGGAAAGGCTCCAACATTGTTTGTCTGAAAGTCCACTGAGACATGTGAAAGGGATTATACCGGAAGACATAACAGAACAAATAATCAATGGGGGTAGCATCATCTCCGAACATATGCCACCACCCATCCTTGACTTATCTTATCGTCTTTCTGTTAACCAACTAGTTCAATCTTTATCAGATTCTTATGACCACTTTGAGTGGAGAATGCCTGTTGTGTGGTTCTTAACGAGAAATGATTTAGAAAAACGAACTGTTGTGGAAGACATCAAAGCAAATTTCCAAACGGGGGAGACACTTGAGGCTCTCCAAATCATTCATCTCGATCAGATCGATGAAGAGTTTCTATTTTTTTGATGTTTCAATGTGGATGGAGGAGACTGATCCTGTAAGGCGTTGGAGAGAATATTACAAGTGTGAAGTTTTAGAGCTTCCAGGGCAAAATAAAAGTCACAGAAATTTGGTGCTTCTAGTGGATGGGGATGGTGACAAAAAAGTAGACCTTCGAAAGGTGAGTATGCCTCTAAATAAACTATATTCTACAGATGTTGTAGTAATTATAACAACAGAATCATCGGCACCCCAAAATGATGAATTGGCTTAAGAGGTGGATGTTAGAATCAGGATAGAGGATCATGTTCTGCCTTGGGAAATCTTCTGCAAGAATGTTGGCAGAGAGCTTGTGCACTCATCAAGTGCCATCCAGAGAGTTGCAGTACGAATCGTTGAGGAGTGTGCTGGCCATCTTCTTGCCATTGTCTTCATGGCAAAGTAGCTGAAACATGTGAAAGATGTTCAAATCTGGGAGGAAATGCTGCAAAAGTTGGGATATCGTAGCCCACCCTACAAACTAATTGCATTCAAACATGTGAGTGAAGTAATAGAAAATGCATTCATCAACATCGTATGGGAGGATGTTATTCCTAAAAGAAAAAAGCCTCGCCTTACCTAATGTTTAAATGCCTTCAAATTATAAGCTAAGATGAGTACAGGTGAATTGTTTGCCCGCTGGTTCTTTGAACAATTAATTGTCAATGAAGAAGAGGCAGAGCATACCTTGAGAGAGCTAGTGGAGACTTATATTTTACAAGAAATTGAAGATATTTATGGACAATATATCCTATTGCCAGAAGAATTGAAAATTATTTTAGATGCAATGCTAGAGAAAAAATCACATGATTACTTGATGAGAGGACCATTACCATTGACAGAGCCCCCAAATGTTTGGGATTCACATGAAGCCTGAAAGTTTCTAACAACTTTTCCTGTTAGAAGCCTAAATTTATCCTATAGTGGCATACAAAGCTTACCCAGTTTCGTTTTTGAGTTGGATCAACTTCAAACATTGTCTTTGACAGGGTGTAAGCAATTCACACAGCTGCCCTTAGAAATTGCTCAACTCATCATATTGTGGAGCTTTATCTTGATGAAACTTCAATTATGGATCTTCCACATTCTCTAAATTTTCCTAACTTGAGAATTTTATCTTTAGGAAACAACCTCAATTTGATGGAAGTACCGCCCTCATTTTTTGACCACATGCCTCAACTCCAAACTCTTTGACTTGTCCCTTACTAGCATACATGATCTTCCAAGATCATTTTATAATTTACGAGAACTTAAATACTTCTATTTGAGAGATTGCGAACTTTTTCTAAAACTTTCTGTAAATATTGGTCAACTTACAAATCTCATCGAGCTTGACCTCCGTGGCACTCAAATTACACATTTGCCAAATGACATCCAAAGGTTGACCAAGTTAAATACATTATCTCTCTCTTTTCTTGGATTTCATCATGGTAGTGGTCATGAGAATAAATTCATGTCATCATCCGGGTTTGCAATGATACCTTTTGGTGTTCTATCCAAACTCAAAATTAATTTGGAGGAATTATGCATTGATGATAACTCAGATAATGAGTGGTGGCTCAACAACGTCGAACATATCCTTGAAGAAATTAATGCATTAGAAGAGTTAAAAAAGTTGGACATATACATCCCAAGAATAAGAGTTAATTTTCTCGAGCCCATCATACAAAAGTTTTTGTTAAATTTTAGATTCATTGTGGGCCATCATATGCCAAGAATAATATCACGTGTATTGCCTACTGTTGAAGAAAAGTTTGCAGCAAGTAGTTGCAGCTTAAGATTTGTGAACGGTAAGAATTTTCCAAATGAAGTGGCGTGAATTCTTTCTAAAGCAAAGGCCTTTTTTTTTAGACCGCCACATGACCATCAAGAACCTAATCCAATTCGGGCTGAATAATTTGAGGCGGCAACAATTATGCATTTTGGCAGGGTGTAATGAAATGCAAAGCATTGTAGATGGAGATGAAACCTCAAACGTGCTTGAGGACTCCTTTGGTGAGCTGAAATTCTTGACTATATTCTACATGAAAAATCTGACAAGCATCATTAATAGGGCAACTCTTGGCAATTTCCCTTTTTGTAAGCTAATGTTCTTAGCATTGCATACTTGCCCTAATTTAACCCCCATCTTCACCATGAGCATGCTTTATAATTTCTCCCACTTGGAGGAGCTTATAGTTGACGACTGTCCCAAGGTAAGTAGCATCATCAGTTACCAAACCTTAGGAGAGCCAACGACATACATTTTCCTCCCAAGATTGAGAAAGTTATCACTTCTCTTTGTACCAATACTAGTTAGCCTTTCAAGTGGAGTGCCTATTGGAAGAAGCTTAGAGAGGATGGGATTTTATTATTGTCCGAAACACAAAAGCCTTTCCTCTAAGGAACTATTAAGCCAAACGTTGAGAGATATCATAGGAGAATCTGAATGGTGGGAAGCACTCACATGGAATGAAGCAGAGTGGGGACAACAAGATTGGCCTGATAAATTTAATCACATCTTTTCTGGAATTGATGAGGACCTTGATATCTTGACTCAGTTAACTTCATACGAGGTAGAGGCTGTCGGGGGGGCCAGTGATTCAGGTGACATTCTTTTATTTCTTTGGTACTAAAATTTCCTTTCTTTTATCAACATTGATAATTTTTACAAGATTATTCTTTGAAACTTTCACTACTATATCAACTAGTAACAGCTTGTTCTTAGGAATATAATTTTATTTGTTCAAAAATATGTTTTGATTATAAAGGTTCCATTAAAAGATTATAGCTTTGAAGAGGAAAAAAAAAATGAAATGAAGGGATCAATGCCCAATTGAGCTTCAACTTGTCGTTTGAGCCCCTACATCTGAAGAAATTTTGAAGGGAGAATTTCACAAATTTACCTGATCTGGTGGTTGCATATGAAGTGTTTATATCTATTTTGATTTTGTTAGAAGTTTAATATATAGCTAAAAGGATTTTTCTTTCAGGCAAGGAAGTTATTATGATGTCATATATAATAAATTCTTATATTATTGTTTTCTTCAGAATTGGGGGACTGATTCTTCCCGGATTTGAAGTGTGATGATTTCCTTACCCTCATTTATAGTGCCGAAGCCAAGCAAGAGAAAATGTTGTTTTGCTTCATCAGATTTATCACGAGATCTGCAACATTGTTGTTGTATGCTTTAATAAACTATTTGCTTTGGTTATTGGGTTTTGAGAGTGATTTATTGTTTGTATCTTAAAAAGCATGGACCATTATACTACACTCTACGTGGGATTGGATATATTTGTGCATGATTGGAGTGCCCATTGCCCTTTATTTCACCATGAAGAAGACAGTATTCTGTTCTGCTTCAACAGACAGAAACAAAGCGCTTGTATTTATGCGAGTTTCATACTCTATGTTGTTCCTATGTTCGTTTTTTCCCCCCTTATTCTATCCATTTATTGCGCCTTTCTTTGTATGAAGAGGGATTTTTTCAACTTCATTATGTAATGAGTTCAGCAAGTAAAATGGGCATTTGGTGTTTATCATAAATACCCATTTAGCATCCCCAATTTTTTTATGAGTGGGCCTCATAGGATTCTTTTTCAGTGTGAACATAGAAATTATATTGAGATGGTGACATATATCACTTCTACTTCCTCCAACAAAGATCTATTGATAAGGTGATTAATTATCCACTGTCAAGTTCATTTTGGTATATTCTTCTTTCATTGACATCCACAAGAAAGTCATGACCTATCCAATACTCAACTAAATAATCAATGAAAATCTTGCTATTTGCTGGATACAATGAACTATATAGAAAACATTCTTTTGTGTTCATCTTCCAGCTAATCATACTATGATTTTAAACAAGAATACAATTCTTTCCAACAATCATCTAAAGGTTCTCTTTATCGCTTGTCAAGTTCTTTCGATGTTGCCCTCCAACCTCAAGAGGAAATAAGTATATTTTATCATAAGAAAAATTGTTAGAAATATTGGTGTTTAATATAAATTCCAAACATACTTTACTATTAAACTTCTCTTACTGAATTTAAAAACTCATATTACTGTTAAATTTTTTAATATCAAACTTTACAATAATGGACATATTAAAAAATTAATTAGTAATAAATTTTGATACCACTCAACCAATCTCTAATACCATTTATTGGGATTGGAGAGCATAGTGAAAAGGGAGAAATTTAACATACTAACAACAAAAACTATTTGTTAGCATTATGAAAAGCATATAAAAAATTCCGATACCACCACTTGGGATGGAAAGTAAAGAAATTGATTAGTAGATTCTAATACCATTAATTGTCAATAAAGAAGCTAAAAATACACAGCTTATAAAGATTCCTATTTTACTTCAGATAGAAGAATATTTTGATAGTAAAAATATTTTTGCCAAAAGAATTGAGGATTATTTTAGAAGTGTTGTTAGAGAAAAAATACATTACAAAAAAAAATTATATGACAACTTGGAAGGAGGATCATCAAGATTCATGGCCATCAAGAGTTTGAGATTTACAAGAAGCCTTAAATTTTTCTAACAATTTTTCATATTGAATAGCTTAATTTACAAGAAGCCTTAAATTTTTCTAACAAACTTTTCAAAACAAAATTTCTTGAGTTGACTCAACCTAAAGCATGGTATTTGAAAGGGTGTAAGCAATTGAAGCAACTGCCCTAAAAAATTGCCCAGCATCATCATATTGTTGAACTTCATCTTGATGGAAGTTCATTAAAAATCTTTCACATTCTCTATATTTTAGTTTATAGTTAGAAAACAACCTTAATTTGATGTAATTACTGCCCACATTTTTTGACCAGATGCTTCACCTCCAACTTAACTTATCCCTAAGTAGCAAATATGATCTTCCAAGATCATTTTATTAATCTGGTAAAAAAAGATCATTTTATAATTATAAAAGTTTAAGGAAAATTACACATAGATCTCATGGAGCAAACTTATTCACAAATAAGACTCATGAAATTTAAAAACCATAGTTAAGTCTCTTAAGACCTGAATGTAATTTAAAATTAGGCTGACAATAATATCCCAACTAAACATACATTACATTAATCAAATAATTAATTTACAACAACTTCATCAACAATTTATAATTTTAATTTTAATTTTTTATAACTGTAACTTCATATTCAATAGTTAAACAATTATACATTACTAACAAAGTTTAACGTTAATTGTTTACAACTACTATATCAATATTTTACAACTATAACTTTAATTTTTTATAACTATAACTTTACATATTTAATGGCTAAATTGATTAATTTAATTATTAAATATATGAAGTTATAGTTATAAAGAGTTGAAGTTATAGTTGAAATTAACAATGAAATAGTTGTAATTATTTGATGATGTAATATATATATGTGTGTGTGTGTGTGTTTAACAGAGATATTATATATTATCTTTTTATCCTAATTTCAAATTACACTAAGGTATCAAAGGACTTAGTAATAATTTCTAAATTTTACGAGATTTATTTGTAAATAAGTCTGCTCTACGGGATTTATATGTAATTTTTTCAAAATTTAAATACTTCTATTTAAGAGACAAAAAGCTTTTCTTATAACATTATCTAAATATTTGGAATCAAGAAATGTACAGAATTAGGGCAAATTAATAACTAAACTCTGATAGGAACAATGACATTAATAATTAAATTCTGATACTATTTGTTAGAAGCAATGTGTATCCTAAAATAGATACCATTTGTTGGCAATGAAAAGCGTATAGGAAAAAAAAATGATACCACTTGTTTCAATCAAAAAGCATCCAAAATCGAGAGAAATTGATAACCACACTGATTTCATTTATTAAGGACAATGATCTAAGGATTAAAGGTTTTAAGGATTCATGTTAACTCTGGTGATGAATGGTGTCACAATAACATTGAATACATTATTGCAGAAATTCTTCTATTAAAAATGTTGCAAACTTTAGATATATATCTTCCAAAAATTAAAATTATTAAGGTCATATAAATGCAATCTATTTCATTATAAATCTTTCAAATTCTCTAAATTTAAGTTTATGATTTGGAAGCAACCTTGATTTGATGTGAATATGTCCCTCATTTTTTGACCACTTGCTTAAACTCAACTTATCCCTTATTAGCATACATGATCTTCCAAGATCATTTTGTAATTATGGCAAAAAAAAATGATCATTTTATAATTTGAAAGAACTTAAATAGTTCTATTTAAGAAATTGCGAGTTCTTCCCAGAACTTTTTGTCCAAAAATTGGTCAACTTATAAATCTCATCATGCTTGATCTATATGACCATCATATTATACATTTGCTAAATAACATTCGAAAGCTTACCTACTTAATTAGAAACATTGTCTCTCTCTCTTTTCATGGATTTCATCATGGTAGTGGTCATAACAATAAATACATATTGTCCTCCAGCTTTGCAATCATTCCTTTTGGTGCTCTATCTAAACTCAAAAGTTTGCATGAATAATTATGCACTAATGTTAACTCAGATAATGAGTGGTGGCTTAAAAATGTTGAACACATCCTTCAAGAAATTGATGCATTAAAAAAATTGAAAGACAATTCAATTGTGAATAAGTTGAATCAAAAGAGAGAAACTTTAGCAAACTGTGGGATGCTTTGCCACAAACAAACTAATGAGACAAAGGAATGGCTTTAGCCACTTGTAGGTAATCTATCTTTACTTGATTATTTAACAGCTCAAATCCTCCTCAATTCGTGTAATTTTAGAGTGTGAGTTTGGGAGGATTTTGGTCCCCTAAAAATTAGCATTCCTAATTAGCAATTTAAATGTTTAGAGTTAAAAATATTATTTTTACTTAACATTTTTTCATTCCAATTTTCATTATCTGCTAATAAATAAAAATGTGTATGTAATGGAAACTTTTAACCAAAAACCTCCGACCAGCCTAACTAAATATGAATTACTTTTACCCTCTATTTGGTTTGAGAATAATGGGAGGAATGAGAATTTTAGTGAGCAGTTTAAAAAATAAATAAATAAATAGAGAGTTATAAAATTTCACTAGGAAAGAGTATGAAAAATTAATGAAAAACTTTCAATCAAATGAAGTCTTGAAAATAATCTCTCAATCTCTCATCAACATATTGAACCCCATGCCCCAAAAGAAAATGCATAACGAATGGTGTAAAAATTAGTTTGAACATGAAGGGTCTATCTTAAGTCTTAACCTTTTTTTTTTTTGAGACAATTATTTTTATTTTATTTAAAAAAAAGTTTAGATTCGTTAAGTTTTGAAAACCGGTCAAGGTAACAAAAGACAAACATGACAACACAAAATATTTCTACAAAGAGACCTATAAAATACTCATCACTAATGTTTTGACGTCAACATCAGTGGAGTTTTTACAGCTCCTCAATTAAAATTGGCCCCACTACCATCAGCATCAGCCCTACGTCACAGTTAAAAAGCGCAAACGAATTCACCATCCTCTTCAGAGAAAACCAACAACACTTACAAACACAAATCAATTTTAACACTCAATCATACCAGTTTGAAGGTGTTTGAACTTTCTGGGCTCCTCTCTCAAATCCCAAGCCTCTCTCAAATACCAAGCCTGATATGGAAAAAAAAAATGTAAAAAACTTGTACTTTCTGCCATATTAATATGACTGGGTTACAGCAATGGCAATCATCTCTCTTTTGATTTTACAGGAACGCCTTTATACATTTGAACACGTTCCTTCATAGCATCTCTCCGAGGCCTAGCAACCTTGTTGTTAGGGTCAAATAGAAGGACTTCTTCAAACGCCTTCAGAGCAGATTTATATTCCTTTTGCTTCTCATAGGCATCACCCAGATTGTTCCATGCTGTGACATAGCCAGGTTGAAGCTTCACGGCAGTCTCAAACTGAGCAATTCCCTTTTCAAGCTTCCCATCACGGATATAGCTGACACCAAGAGCATTGTAGACCTAAATTGGTAACATGAAGGTCATTAGCAAAGTACGTGATTCAAAAGTCATTCCCAAACAGGACGATTTAACATAAATGAACATAGGGCAGACTCATGGGTATGCTACAGGGCTGCGATTTAACATACGTACTCCCTTCAGTCCATATTATAAGAGACTTCTAACTACCTCACCGTAACTAAAAAAAATTGTTAAGCTATTAACTTTGTCTGAAAATATAATAAACTTCCAATTTTATCCCTATTGAAATGAAAGATTTTAAATTTGCATTATATTATCTCTCATTAATGAGTTTAAATAGGAGTAATATTGGAAAACATAATTAATATCCCATCAAGTGCTTTATATTAAGGAACAAAAAATCCTTTTAAAATACGCCCAATAATAGGAATAGGAGGAAGTATATCTCTAATGCAAAAAATGATGTTCATTTATCACTGCACTCGAAAATGAATGCTTACATGTGGGATACTTTTTTCGGGATCTCTGGTGAGAATTGAGTATATTGTGATTTAGTGATGTTTCTCTCATTGCACAATACAAAGGTTTCAGATAGGAGGGGAAAGGCAATTCAGTCTTTGCAGTGATCCAATACATTTGGTCGTCTTTAGTGCATTATGGGATAATAGCTTGTATGTTTTCTCTTGGTGCCTGGTTCATGGCTTTTCATAGCAAGCCAATTTACTGCATATGCAGAGGGATTGGGAAGTTTGTTGCATCTTTAAGTCTCTTTGTTAGATTATTTTCTGTTCTTGCTTCAACTCTTGTACGTTAAACTTTATCTTACGAGGGTACTTCATCATCTTCTAATGCATTGTCACTCTTCATAAATAAAATTTCTTCTTTTATCCAAATCAAAATTAGAAAAATTAGAAAATGTCATAAGCCAATGATAGTAGAAATGTGTAAAGATAGAAGTGAACATCGCGCCTGCAGAGGGTATAATTGTGCTCTTTAGAATGAGAATTTTGAATTTTTCCCTCAAAGGCCTTCACACAAGATGGGTAAGCAACTCCAGTCAGTTATTCATATAAGGATACAGCTAAGCAATATTCAATCAAGTTACTGTATAGAGGACCAATACGCGTCCCATGGGCAGAATTATGCTCAATTCTCCATGCACTGAAGAAAACTTCTCCTTCAGCAGGTCCAAGTTTAGTGTTGTGATTAAATTTTTCAGGAGACATTCAACAGTACCAAAGGTAGAATCAACAAGTTTTCCATTCGTACAGTAAGACCAATTAGTACCTCTCTGTTCTAACATAAATTTACGATAGGCCTAATTCATCAAACCTGGGCAAGATCCTGATCATCTCCATCCCACTTCTCAATAGCCTGAAGCAAGTACTTAGTAGCAGCCGGGTAAAATTTCCTCCTCAGCATCACTGCTCCAAGCTCAAAAAGTTCAGTGGCACTCGCATCGCCACTTCTTACTTGTTCCTGAAACAGTTGACGAAAATGAGAAGCTGAAAAGAGCAACTAATTCCAGTTAATTTGCGTATAGTACTATAGTCACCATTAAAGTAAAAAACCATAGATAAATTAAACTGCTTAAGAAGAAAGAATACAGAGTTTAACATGATTTAAAGAAGCTAATACCAAAGATCATGCTCACGCAGTAATATTTATTATTTTAAAGGGATGAAATGGACAACGCTCAAGCTTTACCTGTAACTCCTTGGCAGAAAGGTCAAGTTCTCTGCGAACAAGAACTTGGCGAATCACAAAGTATGACCCAACCCCTAGCAAACCTAATAGCAATATCAAGTACAATAATTGGATCCCTAAATCAAATAATTCTCCAATCTCATATATCTCATTTGTCTTCAATGTGTCACTTGCATATGCCACTTGAGGAGAAACCACTGATAAAATTGGTCCCAACAACAATGTTGAGACCCATGAGCTTCCCTCATCCTCCAGATTCTGAATTGTAAAGTGGTTCCCTGAAAATTCCAATCCACAACATGAAAAAGGTTGGTGTCTGAGGCAACTATTTAATTTGCAAACAATGTTCAAATATATGAAATGAGGGAAATTAGATCAATGCTCGGTAAAGTTTATACAATACTTATAATAAATGGTACATAAACTTTCCACTGAGTTTACTAAAAGTGACTCTTTGAATCTTCAAACCAAATGACACAATTAAAATTCATAGGTATGTTAACAAGCACAACCGTGACCTAGAGCCATCAAAATGGGTTGAAACCACTGGTTTAACTAATCCTATCAGCTTATAGACAGGTTTAAACCATAAACCATTGACCCATACAAAAGAAGGTTAAACTGACCCACTTGTAGGCCACGGAAGATTGTAGCCCGAAGTTTTCCCCCTTTTTGGTTTGTTTGGTAAGTTGACCCATTTAGCTCACCAAGGCACCAACCCAAACAAACAGGTCAGATTTGGCCATTTATCAACTTGCCAATTAAGAGGGTCAACTGATTCAACCTATCCCACACACCGTTCGTAGAATGTCAACCAAATTCATGGTTCCACCGCCACCTATTCAAATAACAAGCTAAGCAATCACACGTTACATATTATTGATAGAAGTGAAGGGAAAACCATATATACAAAGAATTCTGCAGAATATTTGGGAAAAAAGTGAAACATGGACTAAGCTATTTTCATTAGCAGACAGACATAGACTTGGTGGACAAGCAAACATGTGGACAAATATGTCCGTGTCCCTATCATTTATAAAGTTCTATAAATAATCCCTAAAGCTTTGGTATCCACAAATGCAGAATAGGTGTTCCCAGGAGTAATCTCAAAATCAGTAAAAATGTAAGATCCTAAGAATTCGAAGTTTAGATTGAGACCCTATTACGATCCAACAAATTTGTCTCCTACACCCCAACAAATTCAGAACTGAGGTTGGCATTTGGTGAGATGGAACCAAATGGATTGTAACATTTTGTTTGAAATAAAACAGAAATTAGGGTAATTTCACCAAATTCATGGGAGTTCTATGTAATTTACTTTGAAATAAAAGTTTAGAAGTTTATGCCAAAACCGTGCACAACCAGTGAGAGAAACAAGTGCTAAGTGTTTCCGATAGATCAAACACACCAATGTCCGTATATTGATTTAACAGTCCACGTATGCATGTTTTGCAAATTTACAAAATCATTCAGAAAACATCTTCGGCACCTGTGCTGTACTCATGAAGTTGCAACTGCTTGGGCCCGGCCTTGTCAACCAATTCCCTCCACTTTCTAGACAGTGAATGGACGCCAACCTAAAATGTACACAAAGAAATACCTCTGCAGACTTTACTATTAGGTGCCATCTTAAATTTGGAGGGGGGAAATATCCTCACAGCCCAAAATAGAGTAGTAAGAACCTTATCAAGAACTGATGTAATTAGTCCACCATCCATAGCCAAAGCAACTGCAAAGTTGATGCTACTATTAGACATAAAACTCTTGCCATCTCTACAACTCGGAGAAGCTTTCACCGCCGAACTTGGTCCAACATTATCGGGAACTTTCTCCGATTGCCGCTCCGCAGAAGACGGAGTTAGCCCAGAGGTAGAAGGGGATAAGGTAAGGTGAAGAGTTAGCTTTAGACTTAGCAAGGTCAATTTCATGCCCCGTCTCTGCCAATAGAGCGATAGTAGTAGACCAAGCAGCCGCAACTCCACCTTCGTCCACTATAATTGCCGCAAAATTCCCATCGTAGAAGGTCTCCACGTCCATTTCGGCCGTATTAGACTCGACCACCACTATACTCTCTGCTTTGGAGAGCTTATCTCCTTCAGAAACGATCTTCCCTTCGGTAATCGCTGAGCTCAGCGCCGGCATAAATATCCCCGGATGTTGGCCTGAATCTGGGTTTTGCTCCGGTTACCAGTAGCGGCGCGGAATGAAGGCGGCAAAATTGGTCTCCGGCGAAGGGCCGAGGAAGAACGCAGAAAGGAAGTGTTGAGAAGGTGAGCCATTGGACAAAGGATTACGGACGCTCCGTCACTGTAACAAGTTCGAGGAAAATTATTTGGGGATAAAATTTTATGTTATATTATAATTAGTCATATATCGTTATTCGTTGCTTTTATTCGTTGCTTTCCACGAGATAAATAATCAGGGGGAAAACAAAAGCAGAAATCTTAATCAAAAATAAGGATACGGGAAAAAAATATATTAAAAAGTCTTATGTCAAAAGTATCGAAGAGTAGTTTGAAGTGGGAAAAATGCATATATATTAGAAGTTATTTTTCAATATATTTATAATAAAAATTAATTATAAAAAAATTAATTAACACAATTATTTTTTAATTATAATTGATTATGTTATAATGTGGTAGTGTTTGGATCTTATTTTTTTAAAATTAATTTTGAGAAAATTAAATATGTTTGAATAATTGATTTAGAATCAATTTTAAATATTCAAATTACTATAAAGGACAATGACTTTTTAAATGTAATAATTGATTAAAATGATATATACATGATTACTTATAGAAATTTAAATTATTTTGTATAGTAATATTAATACTTAATGTAAGTAAAAATTAAATCAATATATCTAATTTTAAATTAATCCATAATTTTTAAGGTAAAAAATGGGACCATTAAACAAACGATAAGGTCATCAATCTCACTCCGCACACAAGGCCAAGCCAAGATCTACGGTACAAATTTACCCAAGGGAACCATTCCCTGCTCTGAGATGGGAGTTGTGCGTACCAGCAGATAGGAGGTGAAGAAAAGAACACTAGAATATATGCGATAATTAAAGGGTATATTTGGGAAGTGAAATATCTGACAAGTAACAATTATAGATAACAGTGGAATTGAAATTCAGAAGCTACTATCATCAGCTTTGGCAAAGCTGTGGT